GCCACCGTCGACGTCAACTATTTGACACTACTTGAGGAGCATCGGCCGGAGACAGTGGTTTTACTGGCCAACTATGCTGTATTCTTCATCGATGAAGGTAATCATGGCTTGTTGGCAATGCCGGCGAACATTTACTTGTATCTATCAAGGCTCATTTCGGACGAAAGTAGGAACCTTGGCTTGTTTGGCCGATTGCCGAAATTTATGGCATTTGAAAGTCTGATTATAATGTGTCTAGAGGTGGCGTTCAGGACCATGGTTGGGATTCTATGCTGCCTTATCTTGGGGGTTTTGATATGATCTTTAAACCTTGATGTGCGATTTAAGTCTTTACTGGAATGGAATCAAAACGCCATTTGCCAGGTTGTTGATCGATACATCAGTTTGACTGAGCCAGCGCTTTTATCAGATTGTTGGACAAAACATTGGACCACGAATGCCATGGCTCGGGACTAGTGTTGTGTTTTTTCTCTACTACATTTTACATCCTATAAGTCCGACCTTGTTTGCAGCTGCAAGTTGGCACCACAACGGAGACTAAGTCGTGTATACGCGGATGATGCGATATTCCTTGTAGTTACGGGTCTCCAGACGGTTCTTCGACGTGGAGTGTAGTGTCGTCTAGGGATTTGGGAAGGTCATGAAGATTTAAGGTTACCGAGAGCGAGATTTCGCTTTCTCTTTTTTCTTCTTTTGCTTGACGCTAAAAAGGAACTAAATCAAAGTGGAGCTTAGCTTGGGAGAGTGAGGAATGTCTTCCGGAAACCAAGCTCATTGGCTCACCTACTACAGCGCCCCTGGTGTAGGTATCGGTAGACTGCTACATATTAATTAGCCTCAAAGGTGACGCATACCCATTATTCGGACTGCAGAATTATTGGGTGATTTTTTTCTTTTCTTCCCCTTGAGGCTGTCCACAGTCGTCATCATGGGAGACTGCTCACAGCTAGTTCCGGCATTCCGTTGCTTGGTCTGCACTTGTTACCCACTTGTTGGGTCGGATTTGCGGTCCGAGGCTTGGAAATTGCTTATGCTCAGCCTTATGGGTGTCTAATACGCGGAACAAGTCCTCGAAGTTTTGATCGGCGAACTTGCCTGTAATTCAAGCACGGCATTACTGAGTAGTACACAGTCTAAGACTGGGCCGATTCCATGATTGGGCCTGGAATCAACTAGGTAGGTAGTGTCATTGCGGAAGACGCCGTCATGTAATATAATGATGATAAAACGTCTTACCGGATCCGAAACCATCGCGGGACTAGGGAGTCCTGCCAACGTCTCGAATACGTGGATTGCTGCAATAGACTTTAGCTTCATTTTTCGCGCCATCATCGAGTCCACCTTGAGAGCGCTGTCATGCTATTTTAGTAAACAGACATATTATAAGAGCCTGCTGCACAAACCTCGACCAAGTCCTAATAAGATAGTCACCTTCTACCCATCAGGCTTTAAGCAAAGTATCGTACCTATGTATACATGCCCTTGATCGATATTCGGCTCACCATATCATCGTTCTTTCTCAGCTTTATTCCTAAGGCACCATGGCTCTTCCACCACCACTCTCATCTGGCTACCAGCTTTGGTACTATTATCCCTCTGTACCGGGCGGCATCGCCATGGCTGCAATCTTTCTCATCCTTTCTTTGGCCCACCTTATACTTCTTATTAGAAGCCGAAGGCGATTTTGCATTCCCCTAGTGATCGGCGGTGCCTGTACGTTTAGTATTCTGGTTATTCTGTTCAGGCTCCCAACTAATGTACGGGTGACAGTTGAGACGATAGGGTATGGCGTTCGGGTGTACGCACATTACAAGCCCGCGACGACGCTGCCGTATGCTATCCAGTCACTCCTCATCCTGCTCGCCCCTATCCTCTTTGCGGCATCGGTCTACATGTACCTCGGGCGCATCATAACCTCTGTCGGAGGCGATCGATTCTCTATCATTCCTATCCGTTGGCTGACCAAAACGTTCGTTCTGGGCGATGTCACTTGTTTCGTGGTGCAGGGAGCTGGTGGTGGTGTTCTTTCTGGAGCCAAATCTGCCTCCACCACTCGTCTCGGCGAGCACATCATCTTGGCGGGCCTCATCCTTCAGATCGTCATCTTCCTATTTTTCGTGGTGGTCGCGTTGACATTCCATTTCCGAATGTCTAGAACTCGGGACACTACAAGGCATCGCACCGGGCCGTGGCAAAGGTCTCTCTACGGGCTCTATATCGTCAGTGTTCTCATTACCGCCCGTAATGCTGTTAGGGCTGTCGAATATGCCCAAGGGTCATCGGGATTTCTCCTCGTCCATGAGTGGATCACTTTTGTCTTTGATGGCGCTTTGATGGCGCTTGTTATGATTATATGCTGTACATGGTACTTTACAGACATTGAAGGCCGGCCTTGGTCCAGTGGTAATGAAGAAGAGCTTGTCGAGGCTCGCACTCACCATCGGCAGATGCAGTCGAAAGGCCAGCTGCTCGTCTGATTTTGCGGTCAGCTGCCGACCAATATGGCACTTGTTATTCGAAACAAAAGATGATGGAAACTCAATGAGATTTTGTCATCTGAGTCACGAATGTAAAATGCAGAGAGGAGTTGATAGAGAGACTGGTTGAAAGGATGCGGTATCGTTGCTGCACAGTATGCAGGCTCTCGGATTTGGGATAAGCGTTCCATAGAGGATCAGGGTTAGTGTACTTAGGCCCTCTTTTGGCTCTTAGTGGGATTGCTGATTTTATAAGACATTGGATACACAATCTAATTCAATCTTCCCAGTATGCTTTTTCTTTATTCATGCTCGCTAACTGCCGCTAGGAGAGCGAAGGTGTCGAAAGAATTATTTAGAAGCAGCCATCAGTCCTATCTTCTCGATTCTGTCTAAGACCTGCTTGAAGTACTCTTGGTCTTGGCCCGTTGCGCTAGCCATATCCTTCAAAGTATCCTTGATGGATATCATACCAGAAGTCGAATGCACCTAGAGTGCTCCACACCTCGATTAAGAAGATATGCAACTGTTGCAAGTCTGATTTTCTGCGATATTCTTACTAGCCCTTCCGGCGGCTGGAAGATGGTGAACATATAGTAACTATAGCCAAAGACAGCATTCTCAAATAAACCTATACATCTCTTGGTGGCTCGTTGCTTAGCAAGCTTCCATTTCTTTGAGTCTTTTCTTTGATGTAAGGTAGAAGTGAGAACTGAGAAGCCAGACCTAGGAAGCTATTATGCAAACCTAATCTCCCAGGATTTGTATCTTGTTTTGACGACCCATGCATCTCTTTGGGGTCTATCCTCAGGAGATTAGGCCAAGTCGCCTGAGCCAGTTGATAAGTCACTGTTGCTGCGACATCCAACTCATCAAGGAATTCGACAAGTACTCGCTCAATGTCTTTCACTGGGTGTACCTAGCTAGCGTACCATAAACTCCTCATCACTGCCTCCCAGAAGGAGCTATGTGAGTGTTTAGTAGCACTCTTTTCCTCTTTGAATCGCAGAATGTCAGCGCGAAGAAGTGACAAATAAGGGTCAAATTGTGGTAAGGATGAGGTACAGACAGACTCCCACACAGCCGGCTGCAGTGCCCAATCACGTGCAGTACGATGGGCAACCCCAACATAGGCTTCCCTTCCTAGTGTAAGTTCTAGAATCTCTCATCAATAGCTATAAGAGGTTATAATAAAGATGAAGCTCCTACTTGAGTAAATTTAGTAACCAACTCTAGAGATAGATAACCTCTCCAGATATTATAAAGGATAAGCTTTCTGAGTCAATATATCATTATGAATATTAAGACGAATATAGCTATATAGGTATATATATTTTCTGGAAGTTGCTTTGAGCATTTGTCTTTATTGTGTATTCATCTGAGCTGGTGCTGCTTTAACCTGAGCGTAGGGTGAGCTAGTATCTGCCTTAGGTATAGATTGGGAGCCTTGTTTTTGGCTGCCCTGGCTAAAGTTGCCATCTATCAAAAATAGAAACAACTATATAGGGATAGTTTTTGGGCTATGCTTGTCACACCTATATGAGGTCACACCTATATGAGAGAGGCTTGATTGCTACTACCCTGTACGATATCTTGTTATGCTCCGCATGGCGGCCATAAATACCTACAGATGGCACCTTCCTAAAACTGCTTGAGGCTATCATAACACTAATACTACCTAGGTGATCAACCAATTGCTTTTCATTAAATAAATTGATTGAGCCGGTCAGGTAGGCATTTGGGTCGAGGGCGACCTAGTGTCGAATGTCATCGAAATGTCAACTGCACTGCTCCTGGCACTCTGCTTCGCTTCGCTTGCCAGTCCGCTTGGACATATGTCTAACGCTTGGAGGCATTGGGATTTTCTCTCTGTCAGAAGGTGCTGATAAACTAGTTAACGTCTAGATATTTTGAGCTGGGAAAGTACTTATCGGATAATATCTAATTATTTGGTATATCAGTCTGTATATTTATTTTAGCTGGAAAGAGGACTTAGCTAACTGAAAATAAGCGAACTATTACAAATTAATACAGACAACTGATACCCGCTCTAGGATATAGAAGAGAGAAGAGAGAGGATAGAATAACTGATATATCTTCCTCTAGCATATCTACTATCGACCTTCGTACAAAGCCCGACCCCGCGCTGACGTTATTGCATGGTCGTTGGCCGAACGGTCACTGTTTTCTCGTTTATAAGAAGCTTGGATTGACTGCCGTCCTTCATATCCCTAACTCTTGAATCGAATCAATTCGTGTCAGCCCTAGAACGCAGCCATGGCTTCCCTCAAGCTCACCGTGGCGGAGTTATCCGAAGATTCCGAGCAGCAAGCTGTTGATCAGCGAGCCTTTCTTGTCTTGCGCGACTACCTTCAACCCGATTCGGAGACGGCACTGAGTGCAGCTTCCGCCTCGATCCTGAATATGCTGCCAGAAGAGGATCCCAAGGAGTTGTCCATATTGTCCCTTAGCGAGCTATGCATCGAACTCGCCGAACAAATCCCTTATTCTCATCCATCTCAGATGAAGCTTGTCCGGCTGCTCCAGCAGGTAGCCCAATCACCCAAGGCGGTGACTAGTGTGAGCAGCTATCTCGCCATGCCCTAGTTCGCGTGAGTGAGTGACAAATCGACTAACTTTGCCATCCCCCGTCTAGAACATCCCTCTCCGACGTCTGGGAGAATGTCTTCGTGATAACCTACAAACTCCGGACGTAGAGAACCCAGCCGCGTGGGTCAACTTCCATTCATTCGTTGCCAAGGTTGAGTTCCTCGTCTGGTCTGTCCGGGTCAAACCGACCTGGGCCATCTGGGCCATGCGCGACGCCTTTGAGGAGGACGAAAAGCACTACCCGTCGGACGCCGTACGCGACGCCTACATACTGGGCGCCGCCCAGTACATATTGTTCAAGGGTCAGGACCTCGTCCAGCGCATCGCCTGCCCAGGGATCGTGTCTGACGAGGACGAGCGGCATTGGACTCCCGGGCCGAGGTACTCGGGGCCTGCGAGTCTCGATCTGGCCAGATGGTGCTTTTGGAAGGATGGCTTCCAGGCCGCGGCTGCGCGTAAGGCGTCGTCGGCTGAGATCAAGAGCGTTGTGGGCAAGACGGTTGCGTTGATGGATGCCCTTCAAGGAGCCATGCCGGGGCTAGAGTAAAGGCGTGAGCTACTTGTCTGTGGAACTGTATCAAAAGATTAGTGTATAAACCTCCGCTAAAAGAAAAAGTCCAATTCTATATGAGTGTAACGTGGTTCATAAGCGAGTTGCGTACTTTCTACCAGAGTGGCCATCCTCTAGGGTGGCAGCGGTATCATATAGGCCACCCCTATGTTCCACGTATATAGTGCAAGCAGTACTACTGTTCTTCATACCTACGTGTACCTAGCTTGGGGGTCAATTAAATGGTTACCCTCGCTTGTTCTTCACCTTGCACAAGTAACTTGACATCACCTCTGTTATAGGTGAATGAAATACTTAGCAAATACTATAAGTTAGAAAAGAAATATCTGAATTAAGGTTTTTTTTACTATATAACTTTATTTATTTGATCAGATTTGACTCAGATCACTTTGATGAGACTCTGGTATTGACCGAGACCAGCACGGGAACGACAACTTTGACCACTACGTAAGTCTGCATCCCAGACAAGCAAAAGCTGCGCCGTACTCGATAGAATTACTGTGCTAATTACACTTATGCAGCGATGCTACTGCTGATATGACTGCCGTGACCACTGCCACTGCCGCTCCAACACACTTCTACCTCCGCGTGGCCGATGGCACTTACCAGGGCCAATACTTTGCGCCCTTGGTGTATTCTGATACTTCTGCTACTAACTATCGGGCTACCTTGCAACTCACAACAAGCAAGGCCAATGCGATCACTGTGAAACTAGAAGGCACGACGCTGTATATGATTGATTCGACGCACGAGGCTGTCAGCTTCATGGGATGCAGCAAATCACCTGGCAGCGACTATCTCGTCATAATGATGAACGCCTTGGGCGCTAGCACATACTCGAATCAGAACTATGCCAACCTGATTTGCTCAATTGCCGGCACCGCTCTCTCTTGCGGCGAGGCGCAAAACTCCACCTATAACACCTTCATCAGGTCGACGAACACTGGCATCTATCTTGACTCGTTGGCAGATATCGAATATGCTAACGCGCATAGCCCCGGTCGATTCACTATATTGAATCTGGAGGTTGTGGCTATATAAAAAAGGAACTATGGTATGGCAATATCTAGGAATGAGCACACCTACAATAGAAATGTTGCCATAGAAAGCAGACTCAATGTCAATAATATCGATGACGATTGTCAAAGACGCTGGTGATTGTATACCTGATCAGAAGTTGATGTATTTCAAGTCTGTCGATTACTCTCACTACCGAGTCTTATACTGCGAAACTGATTAGTCCTCTACTTTAAGTCAAACCCAAACCACCTTGACGCAGAGGTCAGCAAGCTAGGATGCCATGATGTCTACTAATTTCCAATCATCTTATGAAGATCTTAGGACAGTTTAGTCCGGTTAGCATGCGAGATCTGGACATGATTCCACGTTGTATTGTACTGGAACATTGTTTTAGTGGCTCAAACTGTGAACGCGAAGGTCGGAGCTCCATCTCCCAGATCCGGTGATCTCAACCATACCAATGCCAGCTATTCGCACGTTACAGAGCCTTCCGAAAGAACTCCTGGTCAACGCCCTTGATGGTTGAAATGAGTAGGCTTCTCATGGCTACATAGTATGGAGCAGTGCGTTGACGACAAGAAGAGACGAAACAATACTGGTAAGGCTCTAAGTTGCGGGTGCCGAAGCGGCGCCTTCTTAAGAAGATAGTCAAATATAATAGGTGTAAAGTTCTAGTCCAAGATAAAGGTGTCACCTTCAATATCTCTTCATTTAAATAAGTTTACAAAGCTAATAAACAATGCCAATAGGGGATGATCACATGTCTGAAAAGAGGTTAGTTTAGCTAGGTCGGATGTAATTTGTCTGCCGCCGACACATTACACCACAAAACTGCCGAATACAGAAAATCATCCACGTCAATTCGCCAATCGACAGCATCCCCTACCGGAAGGTCCTTGGTGATCCGGTGGGTCTCGTAAGCAGAAGGCTAATCGGACGGCACGACCGTTGTCTTACCTTCGTTCAAGTGCTTACTTATCCAGCAACAACGCCGATACTAGTGACTCTAATGAGTAATCCGACTCTCCGCAACTCTTCAGGCCGCCTCGACAGAGTCAAGTCATACGAAATTCTTATTTCGCCAAGCGGGTTGTGATCATGTGTTACGTGAGCAGGGACTCTGGCACCAATGACACAAATTTTAATGGGGCATTACCACGCTGACAAGCTTAAATCAACTTGGCATGCTGACGCCACATATGGATCTCTCCACAGGGTCTCTTGGTCGATAATGAGCTACGACTGCCCTAGGAATTTACCATGGAGGTCCGCGGCGGTCAACGTATAATTTCTGTGGCGTCCCTGAAAGATGGAGTCTTCTTTTCACCTTGACGAATACCCCGAGCAATATGGACTCCATCATCTCGGGCGGCGTTGCCCTGTGCGTATTTGTTGTATCTCGTGGCGGAAGTGAGCTATCTGGGGTTGGCACTCCTCTTATGAGCTTGAGTGTGTTCATCCTGTCAATCGTGGCAATAAAACTTAGCAGACCTACTCTTCGGCCCTATCGCGTCTCAGAGTTGCGAAAGATTCCGGGCCCCAGTGTGAATAAAGATCCTCCCCTCTTTTGGCCAGACCGTCTGACGTCGTTTAGAATAACCATTTTCTAGTTGGTCAGGAGATAAAATTGATGACCGCTTCTGGGCCTTTGGATCTGTATCTTGAATGGATGCGTAAATGGCCTGAGGCGCCTTTCATCCGGCATCGAAGCTATGGCAACTCGGAAGTGCTCTTGGTTAACAGCCTAGAAGCACACAAACAGGTGCTGCAGACCAAATGCTACTCATTCGTCAAACCAGCATTCTTCCGAAAGCTTCTCGGTGAGATTGTGGGTAAGGGGCTGCTGTTGTGCGAAGGTGAGGAGCACAAAAGGATGAGAAGGCAGCTTGCAGGCCCTTTCTCAATGCCGAACATCAGGAAATTGCTTCCGATCTTTCAAGAAAAGGCAAAAGATGTATCGAAATACCTGGAAAGCGCGGTATTGAACGAGGCCCAGGGGATTGTGAACAGTACGCTCACTCTTTTTTATTAGTACAAGAACACAAGGCTGATGGTCTTTGTAGTCGAGTCAATATATACCAAAGCGATGATGGACATCATTGGCGTGACAATATTAGGTGTCGAGCTCGGCAATCTAAAGTCGTCATCTTCCTCGATGAACTTCGTGGACTGCTACCACGGCGTCCTAGCCCCACCACTTCTGGGAAAACTTATCACGTTCCTCAACCCCTTTTTTCCTCTTCGCTGGCTTCCCTTGAAAGCAAACACGGATTTCATCCGCGCCAATGCAGAGATTCAAGGAATGCTCCGCGAACTAACGCGGAAGAGGTGGAACGAAGTGACGAGTAGGAAAGGAGACGACACAAGCAGCGAGACAAACGGTCGAGATGTGCTCACTTTTATGGTCGAGACGAGCTTGTCTGAGAAAGTACCATGGACTGAGCAGGAGATTGTTGAGCTGGTAAGTCATTCTGTCTGCATGTCTCAGCACACCCCTGACCACGGAGTAGCTACTGCAATTTGTCTCTGCGGGCCATGAAACGACAGCTGGCGCGTTGACCTTGACGACTTATCTCCTTGCAATGAACCCTGATGCTCAGAACCGGCTGCGAGAGGAAGTGACGACTACATTGCAGGGACACCCTCAGCTCGATCATGGAGTGGTCGAAAACATGCATTACCTCAACAATGTCGCCCGCGAAGGCTTGCGGCTGATGCCACCCTCCGTCGCTGCGCCTCGTGAAGCTGCTGAAGACGTGGTCATTGCTGGGGTCAAGATCCCGCAAGGCACGACAGTCACGGTCGTGCCAGCGATGATTCAGCATAACCCTGTGGTGTGGGGAGAGGACGCAGATGAGTTCAAACCAGAGAGGTGGGATAGCTTGAGCTCGGATGCAGCCAGCCCGTACTCACTAGTAGCTTTCAATGGCGGGCCGCGAATGTGCATTGGGAAGTCGTTCGCGATGTTGGCCTTCAAAGCCATGCTCATTGAGGTGATTCGGGATTTCGTCATCGAGCCGATAGACAAGGAGCTAAAGTTTGCGAATCCATCCTTGACTTTACAACCTATAGGAGGACTTCGTGTGCAGGTTAAAGGCGTGTTATAGACTGCTCAGGGGACCACTTGGTCGATCTAAATTCACAAAAGCTTGCAAGCATTGCCTTGTAGTCTCAATGGGGACCCCTGACAGATACGAAGGCGGTTCAATGAAGTGGATACTGGCCACGCGACAAAGCTTGCGGCCTTCCCGAAGACTTGCGAGCTAGTTTCTTGGGGTAAATGGAGGCTTATTTTTATCTGCGTATTTGGATTCGTCGCAGAAGGGAGCACTGCATCCGCTTCCTCCTGGCACCCGTTGGGTGGGTGAAATGTTAAGTAGATCTGTGAGCTATGCAGGCAAAGGAAAACGAGGCGAAGTTGTCACGCGACAAGCGTCCCTGTTCCTGAACTAGCCTAATGATTAGCAAAGAGAAAAAGGTACGGTACAGGCGGTGGTGATAAGCCTCGGCTGACCTAGAAATTTGTGAGATGACGTTCCAGACTATTTGGTGGCAGCCCAAGACCCTGTGGCGCATCACCGGCGCTAATGTATGATGATGCAAGCCTTATCGCGGACACGATACTACACGTGTAGGGCTCGCGTGGAGAGGTGATACCTACATGTAGGAAGAGTAACAAGATAAGCCCTCAGTCGAGATCTCACGATTCGTAAATTACTACCCTCTTTCAAACATGTATTGAATTATTCAGGACGGCCCCGTGACCATCCTACAACCGACGGCGATAAGGTGGAAATGGAATCTTTTCATCTAAGTTTGATTTTACACCTCTGCCGGGGTCATATTTGCCTGGGTGGGAATCGCGACTTTCCAGACAAAGGAGTTGCTACTTTTGTCAAGACCAGCGGGGCTATAGAAATAAACAGACTTCGAAGCCTCGATCAGGAATTCCCAACCCTGGTTTTCTGGTATACGCAGTATTCAACTTGCTAAAATAACGTTTATTACCCCGGCGGAGGTGTAGTTTGACATTTCAACAGGGATAGTGTAATGTACAGTACAGCACAGTACATAATAGTGTACCGGTAGTGTAGTGTGCAACTGAATAGCGAACGGGGACCTGGTAGACCGTAGCTGCGGTTTAAAATGGGGACCGAGGCAGGCCCTCGGTGTCGAAAATGGAGAGCGTTGCAAGCTGCAGTGTGATCGGCCCCTTCAAAGAGCCCGAAGTTGTATGACGTTTGCCAGCTTGAGCAGGAGGACACGAGACAATGAGGCCCTGAAATCTCATTGGATTAATCTTGATTTATTTTTCTGCCGGCTCAAGGCAGAGAGTTGGTGACCTGCCTAGGCAAAGTAAAGCGGCTGCTGCGTATCTCCTGGCGCGAGCCAAGCATACGACGCCAACACCAAGAAATCCCGAGCCCACCATCTCAGACAATTCATCCCGCCCGCGTATGATTTGACATCCGACGCTTCCAGCATCCATTCTTTTTCTCTTCTTTTGCACTCGTAATTTGTTCTATCGTCCTCCTCACGAGCCTTTCCAGCTGTCTTTATCTTTATCTTTCAATTAGCTTGCGCAGCTCAAATCTGGAGGCATTGCTGTGGCAGTTGAACTGTAGCCTCGCCGTTCTTGCAGTAATCTACCGGTATCGCGACATACAGCGGTCAAGGCAACCCAGCTTGGCTGCATAGATAACGATTTGCGCCGACAACATCCGCTCCGCACTCAGCCGACTCATCCAGTTCTTCTTCATCTCACCAATTTGTCTAGTCCTTGCAATTCTCCCTCAATTGACCCTCCCGATAACATTATCGCTACCGTTGACTGCACTATCATGACACCGCCGCAAAGGTCGCCCTCTCCGGAGGGCATGGCCTATTCCGAGAAGATGGCATACTATCTCAACAAACTCAATCCCGTTCCGACGCTCCCCGAATACTCTGGGCCATACAAAGTCGGTACCGTCGATATCGAAATCCCTGTAGCAGAGCTACACGCACCCAGTCCGGCGCCCGAGAACGCTTCCGACATCCACACGGTCCAATTTCGCATCTTCTACCCAGCGCAGCCAGACTCCCAAGGCAAGCGTATCACCTGGCTGCCAGCTCCTCAGAGGAACCATGTCTCGGCATACACAAAGTTTCTGGGCATCGGTCCCATGCTGGCGGAGGTTGTATCGTGAGTATATGCGCCTTGCATCTGAAAGGCAATAGCTAATTGACTGCACTCTAGATTTCTCCCGAGACACCTACATTATACTACCATCCCTGTACACAAGAATGCCACGATGCTGGAACCCGAGGACTTGCCGAACAAGAGATGGCCTACGATGATCTTTTCGCATGGACTAGGCGGCAATCGCAACGCATATTCCCACATCGCCGGATCGCTGGCTTCTCAAGGCGTGGTGGTTCTATGCCCTGAACACCGTGATGGTAGCTCCGCTGTTTCCTTCATCCGCAACCCGGACGCACAAGACAGATTTTTCTATAGGAGCAGGCGCCGGATAGTGCCATATCACCGTATTCCTCACACACAGACACCGGAGGTTTGGGATTTACGGAACCAACAATTGAAGATACGGCTATGGGAATTGGGACTGGTACATGAAGCATTGCTTGATATTGATACAGGCATTGCAAGGACGAATCTGAATACCAGCACTCCGGCTGCAAGTGTGGCCCAGTTTATTTCTAAACTCCATGTCCAAGACCCAGGATCCATCATGTTCGGCGGACATTCGTTTGGCGCTGCTAGCATAGTCCAATTCCTCAAGTCGACTTACTACGCTGGCACATCCGAGTTATCAGCTATCAAGGAGCCGCTCTTTACCCCAGCTCTCGACTCCAGGCTTCACGCGCAGATCACCCCAAGAAACTTGACCGTCCTACTGGACATGTGGTGTTTCCCGTTGCTCGCCGAATCCACGGCTGCACTTTACCACCTGCCACTTCCGGTCTATGCTGATGTCCCGTCCGCACCTGGTGGTTCCGCGCTCCTCGCTGTCGAATCCGATACGTTCTACAAATGGACCGAGCATTTACACGTCACCGCAAGAGTTCTATCTCCCGAACCGTCCGCCCCGGTCGTCACCCCTGGAGCGTACGAGCGGCCGGAGAGCAGAGTCAAGCTACCCGAGCCAAACTTCTTCTATTGCCAGAATAGCGCCCACCTTAACCAGTCGGACTTCGGCGTGCTCTTCCCGTGGCTGACGAAGAAGGTATTTGGTTCGGAGGAGCCGGAGCGCGCATTGCGGCTGAATATGAGAGCTATACTGCAGCTGTTGCGAGTCAACGGCGTGCCTGTCGCGAGGACATGGGTCGGAGACCTCGTCGACGGCTGTGACGAAGGGAAGCTAGGTGTCCAAGACGCCAGTGGCGATAAGGGCCTGGATGACGGCATCCAGGACGATAAGGCAATCTTTGACCGTAGCAACAGCGGTGTGGTCGAAGCGTGGAGCTGGATCGACATCGTGGGCATGGGATCCGAGTCAGACGACAGCGGCAAGTCCTCCCAGCCGGAGGGCGTCGAAGGAGAGAGAGAAATGGAGGGCGAGATTGAACCCCAGTTGAGTGTCGAAGCTACGGCTGGCACGATCTCGGCCACTGTAAGTGCTGCTGCATGAGAAGCAACCCTGGAGGCATTATTGGATATTTTGGACAAATGAGAAACGATATGGCATGGATACCTCATAGATACTTGGAAGGAGTTCTGGTTCAAGGATAATGCTTTCATATCAGCTAGAATTGAATATGTTCTGTTTCAGCGTGTTATCTAGATAACCACTAGGCTTGGCCCTCAAACGTCTTTGTCTCCTGATCTCCGACTAAGGATCGTGTACTCTTTGAAAATTGTTTTGATGTAGAACTTACGGCAAACTGAGAACCAGGTCCGTGTCCCGTCCGACTGCCCGAGATCTTGTTGTATTTGACATCAGACAAAGCTAAGCCTGGGGAATGGTTGACTTTGATATATTTCTTCTCGCAACCCAACTTGTGCAAGCTCCCTTGTCAACCAGTCGCGACCACCGTACCACCCGTCACGATCGAGCTTGCTCTGAGTCCATCACCCAAGTCTCTGAAAGCTGGGGTATACATCATCTACGTGGCGCCTTCGATCGTCAGAGTCCCTTTATCTCCTCAGAGACACGATTGTTGAGCCCCAACGATGTCTCAAAAGAAGGGAACGATCGATGCCGCCATGCTTCTCTCTGCCGAGGCAGCTGTCGAAGCAGCCGCCGAATCTGTCGCCAGATTCGGGATGGATGTGGACGACTTCGCTACTCTAGCAAAGGCCAAGCTTCTCGAAAGTAAGTCCTGTCAACATGATGCTCACATACACGGACCACTGACGAAGCGACTGTAGCTTATGTTGCCATGGCGAGAAGAGAGATTCGTGAGCAGGAGGAGAAGGTCGCCAACTTTGAGAGGCAGCTTGCGTCCATGAAGAGAACCAATCGAGCTACACCATCTGCGGTCTCGGTGACGGAGGAGACTGTTTGCAGCTCACCTCTCCTTGATCGTTATTCAACCAAAACGATAACACCGCCACCAAGCAGGCAAGCACCGATGCCTTGATCAACATTTCATGGTGCATAGAAGCCCGGGCTACATCTAGAGACACTATTACGCGCAGGTAGTGGGCAGATGGTTTGAGACCAGAGAGCACGGATTGCATGATGCATGGCCTCATCCACAAGGATAATTGTGTACTCAGTCTCCATGAGCAATATTTGATAAATCTGCAAATCGAAGGTGTTCGCCTCACAGTCCTTTATTTTCATAAGATAACAGGGATCAAGTTACGCTCTCTGCTGAGCGATCAGTGCCTCGTTTATTTTGTTTACATTTTCAGAAGCCTCGCCTTTTTCTGCTCGCCTTTTCCTCTTTTTCTCTCCCTCGCTGTCTCCCCTTTTTTTTCATCGAAATCATCAATATCAACCACGCTCATTACTTGTGACCTTACCCAAATTTGTCGCATGTCTTTAGACCTTCACTGAGAACTAGCTGCTCTCAGTCTCAACGATGTCTCACTTGAAAAATGTCGAGGAAGCCATGGTTGCCACTGCCACAGAGGCTATTAAAGCGGGCATGAGCGTCGACGACTTCACCGGTCTTGCCAAAGCAAAGATGCTTGAAGGTTTATTCGCATTCACCTTCGTGCAGAGGCTTACCTAACAGCTCATTGCAGTTTGGTTCAACATGTCTTACAACAACATTAACAGACGGACCAGCTTAGAACCATCCGGTGGTGGCACAAACTCCTCCGAAGTCAATACGCCCAGGCCGCCGCAACTCAATCACAGTGAGGCAAAGCCAAAACCTACTCCCTCATTACCTAGATCGACCACAAACCCGAAGGCCTCGACATCTACCTCGACTGTATCAACTTACTGTACACCATCTAACTCGTTCAAATCCTCCAGCAATGGCCCACATTCCAATCCTTCTTCGTCCTCAGTCCTCGTCTCATCCTCTAAACCGTTCCAGCCCTCCGATTTTACCTGTAGCACCAAGAATCCTGGCCTTCTGAGCACATCCTCCAACCCATTCTCATTGTCTGTTCCCGCATCATCTTCGACTCCTGTCAGCAGCGCCAAGAAACTCAACCTTACGGGCACATCTCAGGTCATGTATCATCCAACTTTTCCGAGAGATCCTGTTCGTTTGGATAGGAGGGACGCATTCCAAAACATCGTTTGTATGGAACCCTATAAAGACTGGTCCGCCGATGAGCTGAGACTCATGGACTACAATCAAGGTCACAAGTATGGACCCGCTTTCAAAACTGATGTTCTCAGCTTTGGCTCCACGAACTCGGTCTTCAAGACACCCGCTCAAAATACTACCACAGGTATCTTCAATGTATCTGGTAATGGTAGTGCTGTAACCAGCAGCAGTCAGCCAGCTTCTAGCATTTCCATTCAAACGACGGATAAGGAGAGCAGCGTCAGTGATAATACAGGCAGAAGACCTCAATCAGGCAATCAAAAAGATCGAGGCGTCAATATCAGGGAGCCTAGACACCGTCACGGTGGAAAAGCAACTGCCATCAGAAGATCTAGACCACCAGATCGCCGACAGCTAGGAAGAGGTCAAATTCGCGATGAACGAATCAATCGCATTTCGAGAGATGGGTCGGCTACCAGAAGTGAGCCGAATTTAAAAAATAGCACGAGGCATTTCAATGGAACTTAGAATCAATTGCACGATATTGATTGCGGAAAGCAAGTGAGCAAGCTATGAGCTCGGTTGTATGACTGAGGAAAGTGCGAGATAATTCCCGTGAGGGTAATGAAGTATACTTGTTAGAGTATACACACCAATTTCTCTAAAAACATTGTATTTGAAGCAACTCCGGTGTGAGGATCGAAGAAATGTTATTAGACCAAACATTGTTCTGCATCAGATGCGATGTTTCGTCCACTCAAGTCCTACGTCTTGCTCTTGAGACGAGACAGGGGCTATTATATCAAGATTCTGTGAATTATTTCCAGGTTGAGAAATTACTGACCACATGCATTCATATCTTAGTAGTTCAAATTTTCCAATCATCGCCAGAAGACCGGGTTTTAGCATGGAGCATACCTTGCTCGCAATCAACATTCAAAATTAGAAGGCTGGCCAATATAAACACTTTGGGCGGCGGACCTTCCCTAGGGAGAATTTGCCTGGACCTTCCAGTACAGCGCTAGAAGCCTTTCCGCAGTGGGTCCTGTTCCCTTAAACCCCACAAACAGCATTTAAGCTACCAGGTCTTGGGCCCTTCTAAATCAACTTCATTCTAGGGGGTCACTATATTATTTCGCACGTAAAGTATGAGGTCTGAATTGGGTAAGAAAGCTATATCAAATAATGCCCTCGCAGTCCCATGCTTCACAATATGCCTTGAGCCAGACACCTTTTAGGCTCTCAGCACTGGAGTCGTCCGCAAATACGCAGTTGGCGATCAATTGCCCCTCCTTGTTATCATGTAGCTCGTTTGTGTTCTGAAGCAGCGCTGCTTGTCCTCGGTATCTCAATTTTACCTGCTCCCTCAGGCTATCCTTGCCGTTTCGGTCCATCCTGACTAACCCACGACGATATCATGCGGGCCTCCCATCCGATTTTTCACGAAGTCATACTGCTCTCCATGCTTCTGCTCTGGGCCAGGCCGTTTCAACTCTACCATGGCCACAAAGACGATGTCCTCGATATGGCTGGGTTGGCC